GATTTTTAACGGTTGTTACTGTAGATTTAAATTAGAATGAATCCTGCATGATTCAGCTCTCTTCCCCCCGTCGCCGTGAAACTGATTCAATTCAGCTCGATGAATTGACCGCTGCTTCTCATGAAGCATAGCCGGTAGCTGAGCGAAGTGAAACCTGACCGGCCCTGAGAACGAAAGTCTGCTATCAGAAGCCACTGTATTTCGGCGCAGTATTTCGGGGACTGTATGATTGCTGACGCATATGACGAGTATTAAAGCTCTTGCTTTCACTCTGAGCTCCAAACCAGTTCATCATGAAAGATTACTTTGCAATTCGTTGTAATTCTAAACTATATGCTAAACGTAGAAATAAGGGGAAAATCAATAGCTTTCTCTTCAATTGTATAAAAAAACTTACAGAGCTAATTTAGCGTAAGTTATTTCACATTTTATGCATAAATTTGTGCAAATAATTCCTATATTGTATGATGAGGATTGATGATTTAACTCAGCTCTCCAGGCAATAAATCTGTGAGCTTTCTTACTGTATGTTTTAACTACCACACGCTTATGACTTTGCTCCTGTTAATATCTGCCCTTGAAAATCCATATATTCTCTTTGTCCTTCCTGCTTTCGTCGTCACGAGGTCCATCAACCTGCTAGATCGTTGATCGTGACGGCAAGTCAAGAAATTCCTGCCTGACTGGAAATCAGTCAGCATCCGTGAGGAAATTCCGTGACCGGAAGCTTAGAGTTCGATACCACAGTCTCCGCAAGGCGGTTAACATTTGTCGTTTAGTTCTCCTCCATCTGTTGTGCTCAGCCGTTCTACACAAATGAATTGTCAGCGCGAGTGTTCTTGCAATTGTTTACTTATGCAATATGAATTATTGTGTCACAGCAAAATAAGAGGATGTTTAGCTAACAGAATACGAGTCGTTATCGAAGATTCCTGACGTTATTGGTCCGACATGGAAGATATCTCTGCGAGATAACGTGCGGCAATTGATATACTATACGCAATTTCCGGAATAGATACTGCACCCCAATATCCGGACTTGAAGTCATATACTGTACGGCTATATAAGGACTTGGAATTAGGCTACGGCAACATCCGAACAATTGCACATAATTTTCTGGCGCGGCAGTAGCGAGCGATGGCTCCAGCAACAAAGCTGTGCATCGTTGTTGCACTGCCCAAAATTCTGCCCACAACTGAACACGATATGCGGCACGGAGTTTTCTGCTTCACCCATCACATAAATCAGACGGGTACAAAATAATGCAATTGTTTCATAGGGTATGGTCGATCTTGCAGAGGTTTCTGTGTGAAACGAAAAAAAGTTGTCTTCTTCACTGCAAAGCCGAAAAGATGTATATACATATAATTCTCAAAACTAAAACTCCAACCAATGTTGTTTCACATATTATTTTCATTCTTACTTTATCATAAACAAAGCTTGAAGACGAGATGCAGTATTTTCACGTCTGCGATGACATGAACTAGAGCAAACGATCAGGCAGATCTGACTCAGCGCGTACGGGAAGCGATGTACATAATGTGTGAGATCTTCGGCGAGTAGAGCGCACATGTGAGCAGTTTGGGTCGAGGAACTCATGATGCTGGATTTGTAAAGATCCGCATGGCTGCCCGAGCGTGACTCGAGCCATGTTTCCGTTTAGTTAAGCACGTGGTGATGAGTTCAGTGCATTCCTGAGTGGACAGAAGCTGCAAACCTGCGAGCATCCGTCTTGCATCATGCAGAATTACGCTTTGTATCTGCCCGACAGCCTTGACGTTTTTCCTAAGAACAAAACTTGTTAAATGCGCGGTCATGCTTGAAGTTCAAATGCGTATATAAAATTTAGAGCTTCTTAATTGTCAATTGACTCGACTTGCTTGAATAACTTTGTGCGAGCTGGTTTTTACCATTTCAAATTTACTGCACAAAATTGCTTGCAGAGATTCGGGAATGGTTTTCTACACATAGGTTGATATTGGTACTGTGATCTAATTCGACCTTAACTTTAGTTTCTCCGCAAAAATCCCAGAGTACTGCAATTGAACTTCAACTTTATATTATCGGCTTACAAAACACTTCAATTCAATTAACGCGCACTTAAGACTTTTGTGTTTGCTCATGCGGTGCTTGCTTGTTCAGTACGCGCCTAACGCGGCCGTTAACGCGCGCTGCCGGGAGGTTCTTTGACCTCCGGCAGTGAGCCGAGAGGAAGTGTGGACGAGCGTGAGCTGGTGCATCGGGTGCTCTGGCGGCTTAGGTAAATTCACATTGCAGCTCAAGAACTATTCACATTACAGCTCAAGAACCCTTCACATTACATTGATCATTATTGCCATTTAAATTGCAGCTCAATTTCAGTCCACATTGCGGCTCATGTATAATTCTCGTTGCTCTTTAGGCTTCATACTCCCCAAGTCTGAAGTTACCGGAAGCTTCAACTGTTCAATAACCGGACCAGTCACTACGTGCTCGTCTCCTGAGAATGATGAGTTATAGGTTACTTAGCATGCTCACTGCTTATAAAAGTTCAAACACTTAGCATTGAATATGTTTATTGCTCGCTTCCTTGAAGTGTGCTCCGAATCTTTCTCAATATATTTCTGCATTCGCTTATCTAAATCCCCATGTTCCGAGCTCTCTGTTCTGTTCCGTTTGCCATCGAAAGCAATAATAAGCCTCAATTTAATAAAATGTTGAGGCTCATAGTACCGCTCACTGCAATGCACATCGTAGCTGTAGTGACAGGACCAGAAGAAGTCAGTGCTCCGGGATTCTCAGCGCCTGATAGCAGAGATTCAACGGAAGTGGTTGCAGCGGTCGAGGCAAAGAAAGCTATAAGCCTTTGAGCTCTTTTCTCGCGAGGTCTCACGCCGCTGCGGCTCACAAGGCCTGGCGCGACCGAACCGAAATTCACACGTCAATGCATCGACGTCCTGACGCCTCCTCCTGGTCCGGGCGATGACCTTGCACTGCGAACCCAAAAGTCTTGATTCACTATCGTAATTATTATTATTTTTTAAATAAATGTCATTAATAAATTTAATGTAATTTTATTGGTTCAGAAAGGTTGTCATTACACGATACCTAGAACAATATCCAGACTTTTTTTAAGAACAATTGACCGATCGAAATTTCACCAGCCAATCGGCATTTAGGATGTAAGTGTAGCTTCCGTTCACAGACGAGAAGCATGGCTCTTTTAACCTTCCACCGATCCAAGAAGTTTAGAAGCGCATTCCATTATTCGAGATCCACTAGGCTTCCGAACTGTTTGACGATTGAGGAGATCAACTCGCTGGCATAACAGCTTAAAAATTTTTGCTAGGCGACATCTTCCCATCAACGCGGAAATATTGATCACGACTCGTAATTTTAGCGGGTCAACTTTTTCACTGCGCGCCGGTAATTTTTTCTGAAGGATGAACAGCCATGTATCTCGAATGCGTTACTCAGGACCTTGCTGGCACAGGTCGCAACCGAGCCACTGTGGGCCCGAAAAGTCATGTTCTGCTCAGCATTTATCCTTCGCAAAGACTCAGGATTAAGCCTGGGCGTTGTGATTTCGGTTTTAATTTGCTGCGTCATGATTACTGCAGGTGCTGGGAAGAAGGCAAGATTTTTCGTTCAAGTTTGCACTTGGACGGACGACACGCCAATTCCAGGCACAACATTTCTCAAGCTTTTTTTATGTGGGACTTGAATGTCGTTCAAGATTGCAGAGGACAACATGCCCGGAAGTACATAACGGCGAATTTTCAACTCAATATGTTCATTAGTAATGAAATATCAATATTAAATGCTTGCACCAAAAAATTCACGTGCGTAGTGAGGGGAGCCACTACCTCAATAGAACAACCAACTATAACTTCATCATTAAAATTGCATGAATGCGTGGCAGCGTCTGAAAAATCATCTTATCTATGACATTCTACTTTATTGCGACTATTATTCTAGTGTCTGTCTCTGTTTCCTGTGTAAATAAGGATTCTTTGATCGATCTCTGCAGGGGGAAAAGAGGTGCACGCATGACTAATCAATTTCATTGCGTAATCCTATTTTTGTCCGTTTTCTTTGCATGTTTTGGCTGGGTCGTTGCAGACACCTGTTTTTCCTGCCTAATATATGAGTGTTGTCAGTGTAGATCAGTTTTATGCGCGGTCTCGGTTTTTTTGCAACGAGGACTCCGTAGCTTCCTGGTGCCTTAGCGGCCCTTCACGTCTCTTATGCTTCCTGATGTTTGTTTGTGTAGGCGGACGAATTCTTTTACTGAATAAAATCCTAATCTGACAAGAATCAGTAAATCCAATCAAGTGTTTCAAAACTTATCAAGAACACAGCCACAACAGCTTGAGGGAACAAGCATTCACGGATGGAAGATGGAGTGATGTCAAGAAAGAAATTTGTGCTTTGTAAAAAATCTTTGAGTTTTTTGAGTAGAAGTAAATAAATTTGACACTCAAAGATCCTAAAAATCAAACTCTTTCATGTTTATGCTTATAAAATTAAGGATTGAGGATAATTCGTAAGATGATCGCTAGAAAATTTACTTTCTGTGTTATCTAGGCAGTGCGGCAAATCCAGTACACAATTAGTAATGATATGATCACTCTAAAATACAACCGCTCGAAGTTGTATGATTTATAAACTTTTGCCTTTGCCATGAAGAAATTTGAAAATATTGATATTTGACGTTATAGACAATAGAATTTTACACGCCAATTGAGATCATGAGATTTCTTACTTGACTGCGATCAGTGATACTGCATCTGTTTCAATGAGTGCTGAATACTGCTTGTAAATGAAATGACTTTAGTTTCAACTAGCTGCTTTTTCATATTTTGTTTGTTATTTTGTGCAATTAAATTAATTTGTGAGCATTAAATGTATTTTTATGTCAGATTGTTTCTGAGATTTTTTCTTGTAAAAATTAAACGTATTCATGTTCATGCATATAATATGTTTATTTGTTAACTAATTCTATTAATTTCCCTCTGCAGCCAAGATGAAGCCACCTCTGCCGCTTGGCTTCCTCTTCTGGCTGTCACTAGTCTCAGTGGTGAGTACCGCCAGCTTTTGCTACAAATTCCAGAAAACTGTAGATCCTGAGGTGTCTTGATCATTACAGGATGAAGAGCAGCTAGTTCATCAATGATTCATGTCGACCTTCTATCAAAAATTACCATACTATTCGTATCAATTCGCACAAGAACCTCCTTGTTCAATTAGCATAAATTTGGAGGAAATCCTCTTATTCCCCATCCGCCTGTCTCATAATTCCATAAATTGTAATTCAAATCTCTTCTTCTTTGACCGTATTTTAAGTAATTTTTTAAACTCACGGTCGTCCAGTCCGGTATATACCGTATATTAAAAAAATATTATTATAAATGATATATTTATGATTTATATTAAATATAAATCACCGTATATTAAATATTGGTGTTAACTATTGGTCATTTGTAAAGTCCGGTCCAGTTGATTCCGACAAAATGTAGAAGGTTTAGTAGGAATTGTGAATCTTGGGAACGGATCTTTTTTTCCTGGCACTTTGCGAGGGATCAGAGGATGAGTGTCCGGCGATATCTCGGTGCACCGGTTCTGGTCGAACCGTGGGAACCCGTCGCTCAGAATTAATTTACCCGGCGAGAAAAAAACTAAATTGCTCCCAGCGAGACCTGCATCGCGGGATAGTAATGCAGGAGAGTTGCTTAGAACTGCTGGAGGCGTGAAACTATCCTTAACTTCATCAAACTCTAGGTTCATTTTAATTACTTCATTAAGAGTAAATATAGATTTGCAAAATCCTGGATCATATTCAAGTGCTTCATTCATAATGCTTGTATTTTTAAAAAGTTCATTAATACTGCTTCGAACTTAATCAAGACCAAGTATCCAATGAGGGCAATTGCCGAACTTCGAATTGCCGAACGAACTACTTGATGAATTTTCTAGCTGTTTATGAAAATGGATATCTCGTAAGAAAAACATCTTCTTAGTGTCTACACCAATAACGAAATGTCATGTGAATGAGATAGCCTACACGTCTTTGTCTAGCTAAAATGAATGACTTATGCGTGGTTTATCTCCATTCATTATGAGAGGTGAGGCCCAGTGCTGCACCTCTTCTTTTGACCAGCGAACCACGCGACCACTTTCACCAAGACGGGTTAGCCTCACTAGGAGTGAACTTTTTCTTCATTGCTGGATAATCACGTGCAATGATAATTGAGTGACAAATAATGTATTCGGTAATACCGCAATTTATTCATATTTTGTTGCCGTACAATCTTCTCGTATATTTCCGGCTGAACTGATACAAATTGAAATGGGAGTTGATATTTAAACAAAGTTGACATTGCAGTCTAAGTCTCACCACAATATAAATATTTCAATATTTCTCACTGCCAATTTAAAATTTTTCCAGTGACGAAAGGAAAAAAAAAAAGGAAATTTTTCATCATGAAGTTCATGGATATAGAGGCGATCTGTCACCACACCCGAATTTCTCAATGCGAATGCTGTCAACATGCGAGGTTATATTGATTGTTTTGAAGCGCATGCAACCTTTCACATTGCGTCATGCGAGTGCAAGTCTCACTTTGCGTCTGTAAAGCCAGTGTCCGCGGCCCAAAGTTTGCTAGGAGACGGATGGCTGCTGTGCTCAGCAATGTTCCCACAGCCTCTGCAGGAATGAGCTCTTGTGCAAGAATTTTTTTTTAATTATGAGTGACTAATTTAAAACTTTTAATTTCAGTGCTTTTTCGAAACACAAGAAATGGCAGCTAGCGATGGTCAATCAGTCAATGATATCGAAAATATAATCCAATAAAAAATGGAAATAAAAATTCTCTATCAATCAAGCTAATATTTACACGGATCCTTTGTACTCAATCATTCTCAGACTAATAAAAATAATTGTTTATATAAATGTCAATAATGCCTAAGTGATCGTGCGCTACTCCTACTGTAACCTAAAAGCTCGCACAGCAGTCGTCTTCGTTCTCGTGCCCACCACGACAGTGCACGTCGCATCATCAGTGCACGTCGCATCGTCAGTGCACGTCGAATCGTCAGTGCACGTCGCATCGTCAGTGCACATCACATCATCAGTGCACGTCGCATCGACAGTGCACGTCGCATCATCAGTGCACGTCGCATCGTCAGTGCACGTCGCATCGACAGTGCACGTCGCATCATCAGTGCACGTCGCATCGACAGTGCACGTCGCATCATCAGTGCACGTCGCATCGTCAGTGCACGTCGCAGCGTCAGTGCACGTCGTATCGTCAGTGCGGGCATGCAAGTCTCATCTTTTCCACCCAAACCAGTTTCGGTGGATCGTTCAACTAGGGCCTCTAGCGTCACCGTCGCTGCTGCCTCGAGCGCTGCTACACGTAACAACGTAACGAACCCACCTCAGTTACACCATCATCATGAGTGGGCCACCCGCATCATCTTACTAAAAAGTGGGTTCGAGTTACCTAGTTCACTTCATCTTTTTGATGAGTGGGTTGAGGTTATCTACAGAAGTCATATCCTCTTTTAGAGTAGGTAGGCTAGAGCCCTCTTGTTGCCCACTTATACTAAATCGAACCCACTGAGTGATTTTACTAAGTGACTGGCCATGAGGACCTGAGTCTTGTCAAAACATTCACTTCATTCTATCTTCGATTGTAATAGTTTCATGAATTGAATAACATGTAAAAATAATCTACGCTAACGCTGAGTTGGTGTCGGACTAGGTTTATAGACGCGCCGTCGTAGGAAGCCGCTACGTAAAGCTGCTTACCTAACAAATATAGAATTCATCGTCAATGTTGACTTACGATCAAAGACCCAATTAAGACGATTCCATAAAATAATCAGACTTCTTTAAATCCTATATGAAATCGGTTTCTTATCGTGGAGATGCTCTTTCCTAAGACTCACATCATCACGGACCTCATCCATGAACATCACAAAAACAAATAACCATTTCATAGCTTAATACCATCACAAAATCAGCGCAATAATTTTCCAGTATGCGGGCTTAGGATGCCCAGGCTGGAGCAGCTCTGGCCCAGGTGGCAGGGCAGGTATGCTGCTGAGTTTAACTTCTCACTTTCTTCTCGCTCGCCGCACGGACTTTCTCTCTCGGTTTCTACTGCAGCTCGGAGGCCTGCGCCTAGAAGCTCCCTCCGCCCCTCCAGGCACGCTACTCTCGTGCCCATTATGTGACGTGGTAATATCATGTGATGTGGTACTAATGAACATGTTGCTCGTGTTACTAATGTTGCGTTACATTTCTATCTCTATGTAATATGCTGCGCATACAACAAAGCAGGACAACTGAACATGTTGCTCATGTTTACAGTTTGGTCACCGTGTATCATGTTGCATATGCTACGACGCGGGATAACTGAACATATGTTCATGTTGTTACAGTTCTATCACTGTATAACATGTTACACATGCCTCGATGCTGTATTCCTGAACGTAAAATGTTGCATGGTTAGGATGAACACTGAACTCGGATGTGCAATGTCGTAAAGATGTTTAAAGATATGACAAAAATATTCTCTAAGTTGTTAAACAGTAAGAACGCAACGTGAACATATTGCGTCATCATTGAACATTTTCATCATTGAGCCTAACCTAACCTTGCATTCGCTCTTTCCTAATAGAGCCAAAATTAATAATAATTTAAAAATTTAAATTTATCATTTCACGCCACCTTTGTTGATGTCCGTTATAAATATCGCCCATATGGTGAAAAAATAGCAAGCAAGACTCATCTACAGATGAGCTTCAGTTTGTGTCTACTCTGAGGCAATCAACTTGTGGTCAGTAAACTCTAGGTTACATTAAAAGCCTTTACCAGAAGCCTTCAGAACTAGTGCAACCTTTTCTTCGATAATATGAATATTTTGCGCGGCTGCCCGACGTTTGGCCGACGGTCGTCTGAATAAGAATATTTCATTCTATTTTATTCTATGTTCTATCTAAACTTCAATCATTCACCCACGCCTCCCACTCACCCGCGCCTCTCACTCACCAGCGCCTCTCACTCACCCGCTCCTCTCACTAACCCGCGCCTCTCACCCGACTCTCACCAATAATATAAGCCGAAATAACGATCCGGCGGTAGCTATTTACATTAAAATTTATACCGCAGTTTCTATAGGCTTTAATACAACACCCCGCGTTTATAGCCTGGCGGCTTTGGTAAGGTTTTGACGTTTAAAGCTAAGCTGGACCAGCGGCGAATCAGACCGAGCAAGCTAGAGTTGCGGTGTGAAAGATTGCTCAAGGTCAGTGAGAGTGAAGCTATGTGATATCCTCGGGCCTTCTGCGTACCAGACTATAAGTATAGGCTATTTCGCAGCAATATTTTTTGCAAATATATTATCGTATTTTCTTTCTTTGCCTTCGGGATTATGCTGGATCTTTGCTTTCGCCTGATGTTCCTTTATCATTTTCTTGAATTATTTTGAAGACATTTAATCTCATTCACTTGTTAGCAAGTAAGCCATGCATTTATTCGCGTCAGTAATATAAATGAAGTCTGCCCTGAAGATTTAAATTCATCAAGTACAGTACTGTACATTAAGCTGAACGAGTTTAATTGAAAACACATAAATTTTTTTTTATATTTTACGCATCGACATCCATATTCACATCGTATGAACTCGCATGTATACAGCGGCGCGTTATGAACACATTCTTTCATGCTCCAGTTTTTTGCTGCGTCCAGGAATTTATAGTCGTTTCCCTCTCGGCAATGGCGAGTTTGGAGGCCAGGCTTGGACATGAGTATCTAAACCGCGTTTTATATGAACGACGTCGTGCGGAAGCCCGTCCAGCAAAAATATCATTTTCAGGGATTACCGGCTACCACAATAGTCTTCCACGTTAACAGCTACCAGACTATTACTACCAGATTACCAGCTACCAGACTAGTATTACTCATCTACTCTTCAATCATCGTAAATCGGGAATAACAATCGCTTATGAATGAAATTGGACGTTCTTCTCTACTCAAGTTGGTGTAATCCAGTGACCTCTTGTTTATGTCGATATTTTACCTCTTCCAGAAGCCTTATTATATTATACTTGAGATATCTCACTGAACAACAATGTTCTTGAAACATGCTAATGACTTCACTTGGCTTTCTAGGCCCTGGCATATCAGTTTAAAGGGCGGCTTGGAGCTGCAGATGGGCAGGGCATTAACAAGTGAAATAGGTTGGCCCCATGTTACCGCTTGTGGGGCGTGGCTAGAGCACAAGGGCATGATTCATTTAGCATTATAACCTAAAGCTGTGACACTTGACCTACCCTAGCATTCTAAGCTCGTTCATTTGACCTACCCTAGCATCCTAAGCTGTGACACTTTATCCAACCTATATGCACCTTCAGCTGAGGCTCTTGACCTACGATAGCATCCAAAACTCTGACACTTGACCTAGCCTATATAGCATCCTAAGCTTGGAAACTTGATTAATTCATTTGCAACTGATATTGCTCAAATTTGGAATTGACCCATATCGATTGCGTTTCAAAGTTAAAGGAAAACGGAGACTCGTTTTTACTCACGACTATCGTCTGCTATTCTAGCTTATCCGAAGTCTTGCTTAGCGAAGCATTTAAAAAAGTTTCTACTCTAAAAAGTGCTCCTTCAATTTGTGTTTGCAAAGGGAGTGTCTTTATAAGGCTTTGGTTCTTCGTCATAGAATTTGCATGTCGGATTTCTGTGTTTGCATGGGAATCAGATGGCGCGGTCACGGTTACCGCAGGCTTTGGGTCACAGGAGCGAACAAGTTGCCCTCTGACCCATGCACCCTTTCCGTTTCGTAACTTATTTCCCAATATTGGATAACCGAACTGCAACGATGTGGGTGTGGTGCAAGACACACGTTGAATTTCCGCTCAAATAAAATTACAGTAGCAGTACTAAAAATCTTCCATTCTGAAGCCTTCAAAATGGTTGTGACAGTTGGTAGCTGTAGGTTGTAACAGCTGGTAGCTGAAGGTTGTAACAGCTGGTAGCTGTGGGTTGTAACAGCTGGTAGCTGCAGGTTGTAACAGCTGGTAGCTGCAGGTTGTAACAGCTGGTAGCTGTAGGTTGTAACAGCTGGTAGCTGTAGGTTGTAACAGCTGGTAGCTGCAGGTGATAGCTGTAGGTTGTAACAGCTGGTAGCTGTAGGTTGTAACAGCTGGTAGCTGTAGGTTGTAACGGCTGGTAGCTGTGGGTTGTAACAGCTGATTGCTGCAGGTTGTAACAGCTGGTAGCTGTGGGTTGTAACAGCTGATAGCTGTAGGTTGTAATAGCATGTAGCTGTAGGTTTTGACATTTGGTCTGCGTCAGAAATGTTTTTGAGACACGATAGGTCAAAAAGACTGGGGCACCTGACCGGCGATACTTAATCGACCGCAACGAAGGGTTGACGCACAAACTTGAATCATCCACTGGAACAAGTTGAAAGAACTCAAGAGAGATGTTATTTTAGTCAGATACTAGATACTAGTGTCGAGATTCGACCAGTCTCATTTCAGAAAATTTATGAAAATGATCTGAACAATCAACTTTGAAAGCCCATTCTAATTAGCTGATCGTCGCAGAACTTTTAATGTCAGAAGAAATTTTCGATGCTTCAGTGAATTTTCTTTTATTGAGTTTGGAAAAATGTATCCACCGTGCGCATTATTCCATAAAAGCTAGAGTGCGCTTAAAGCGCCGCTGTTGATGGATGTTGTGGCCCATAGATCCAAGGAAGAGTATGCTGGTGGAAGTTTGGCTTTGTCTTCCGCTAGTTCTGGATATTAAAATACACGAAGCAACGTTTTTCTGGTCCAGAAATTTTGCGCAGCCAGTAATCAAACAAATGAGGAATATTTAAAATGTAATTCCGAGGAGATACAATTTTCGTGGAATAGGAAATAATATATTTATAGAACATTGTGAGTATTTCATCAAGGATTGGAGTTGAGTTAATGTAGTTAAATGAAGTCTCCGCCTCGCTGGCTCAAGTGACATTTAATGTCAGGCTGGACAGGTCGTTATGTGACCCACATCACTTAAGCATCAGTCACGCTGACCGATGTCTTTAACGACTTCCTCGTGAGCGCAATTGTTCGAAACTTTTATCGCCAGCAGATTCTTTGACTGAGCAAATGGGAGCCTTGAAGTCAAACTCTCCAGTTCGCTCGCAGACCTTTGCTCTCCGAGCTTTGCTCCTTCCTTCTCTTCCTCTTCCTTCCTTTCTCCCTGCTTTCTTTTGTCGTAATTTTCCGAATGACGACATGCCGTGGGCTTACAGAATTTTACTATTACTATCAAAGAAAGTCTCTATAGTGGCTTCGTATGCTTATCCATACTGAACGATTAATTGCGTCCCCGACCTGCATAGATTGTTCAATGCAATTG